GGGAAAAGCTGTTCCAGAATTAGCCTTTCCCACCGCTGGGTCCCCTAGGGGCAGCTGTGTGGTACACCCTGCGAAGAGTAGGCTCTTTTTGGTTGAAAACAGCATTTGTCCGATTTCCAGAGTCCTGCCTCCAGGAAGGGGTGGCCCTCCCCTGGTGGCGGTAAGTGCTCAGAATTGGCAGAACACCAAGACTAGGAAGTCATTAGCTCTCTCAATCTCTGGGGTGGTAGACTTCGAAACCACATGTGCATCAAGGCAGAGCCTCATTCTGGCTGGGTGACTTTTGGTAAGTAGCCTAACCTCTTCGAACCTTATTTTCCTCTTCTACAAAAAGATAGTATTTTTACCTCATGAGGTTGTAAGTGTTAAATGAGATCATGCACATACAGCCTTGGTGTATCTTTTTTTTTTTTTGAGAAGTTTTTAACTATAGGGCATATGCGCTTGCAAGAAAGACAGAGAGAAACAGAGAGACAGAAAGCGAGAAATCACCACCCCTCCCCCTGGAGGGAATGGCCATGCCACGATCCCTTCTCTTCTGTAATCCTCTCAGGATTGGGGCACGTACACACGCACCTGACTTGAGTTTTAAGCCACCAGGTACGGGACTCGAACCATGGTTGACTACATGGGAGTCCAGTGACATAACCATTATGCCATCTGCTGATCCCAGCCTTGGCGTATCTTGAGCATATAGTATTTGGTTACTGTTTGTTGGTGTAGTTAATTGAACAGAATACTTCTGACTTCTTCCTAACTGTAAAATTCTGGGATTCTATGGTGACTTCAAAGTGTTTATCCTCAAGTTTGATGGTTTTTCCATACCAGTGCTGCTTATTTATAAGACTTGTAAGTAATTAACCATATTATTAATAATATTTAAGGTATTTCTATTTGTGATTTACTTTTTAAAAAAAATTGTTAGAGGGTGTGTTTACTTGCCAGAGAGAGAGAGACATAAAGAGGGAGAGAGAAAGTGAGAAAGTAACCCCCACAGGACATGCTCACACAGCAAGCCCTTGTCATTTCGTCCTCATTTGGGGCATGCACCTGTGGCTGGCGTGTTTCTTGAGCCACCAGATCTGGGTCTCAAAATCACACGTTGGCCATGAAGGATCCTGCTGCCTAATCCAGCAGGCTAGCCTGCAATTTACTTTTAAAGACAATTTAGAGTCAATTTATGATAACTTTCATAACACTCTAATAAGAACTCATTGATTCTTTAAGTGGAAGAAGTCTAGATACATCCAGAAAACTGTGCTGGGCTTCTGAACATCTGGCACCTGTTGAGGTGTAAGGTTGAAAAGCACTTTTTCTTTCCTTTTTTTAAAAAAGAATTATTTATTTAATTTTATTTATTCTTATTATTTTCTTAATTTGCTATAGGGCACATGTGCTTGCCAGAGGGAGAATAATGAGAAAGCAAGCTGCCAGGTCCGAGACTCAGACACCATGCCAGCTGCTGGCCCCAAAAGCCCTTTTTCTGTTGTTATTCCTAGTGCTTATAGGCATGTACATCTACTTTTGATTCGTTCTTAAGTTCGATGTGTTCTGAGGATGCTTTGAAAACAGCTGAAAAGAATGTCTAATAATCTTTTTAAAAATAATTATTTTATTCAATTTTATATATTTATTTATTTATTTTAATTTGACTAGTGGGGGACAGAGTGAGAGCAAGAGTGAGAGAGGCAGAGAGAGAGCCCCCAGGCGTGGGACTAAAACCACAATTGACCATATGGGAGTCTAGCGCCCTTAACCACTCCTGATGGCTCCGAATGTCTAATAATCTTAAGAAGAAACAGATACTCCTTTGGAAATCAGACATGGATTTCTAGAAATTTCTACCATAATACATTTTTCTTTTCTCTCTATGCTTTATTCCGGGTCTGGATGTCTTCCTTGTCTCTGAATGTTGTCTGGAATTAGCTCCGATGAGCTTGCTGGCTAATCCAGAGTCACTGAGCACAGACCTCTGACTTGGGGATACAGCATGGGATGGATTCCACACCTGAGGATAAAGACAGGGAATCCGTGTACAGGAATCTGCCTCAGGGGAAGGCAGCTGGGGACTTGTACCAGGAGTGCTGGGTCCTAGCTATGCACTGACTGGATTCTGGACCTTGGGGAAGGTGCCCAGTGCTGTGGTCCCCCCTGAGCTGTTGCCTTTAAAAGACTCTGTAAATGGATGGTCTCAGAGCCCCTGAGGAGGCACAGGAACATAACTAGATCTGACCCTGCCTGCAATACTGAAAAACAAAAGGAAACAGTGTTTTGTTTTGTTTTGTTTTTAAGAGGTTTTTGCTATAGGGTGCATGCCCTTGCTAGAAAGACAAAGACAGAAATCGAGAAATCACCCCCCAGAGGGTATGGCCATGCCACAGGCCCTTCTCCAGTCTCCTTGGAATTTTGGGCTTGCACACACACGTGCCCAGCGTGTTTCAAGCTGCTGGGTCCGGGACTTGAATCGTGGTCAACACATGGGAGCCCAGCGATGTAACCATTATGTCATCTGCTAGTCCCAACAAAACAGTTTTTTAAATAGGTGCTGCTGCTTGAATACTTCTGGATTCCAGTGTCTTGAGGCACATGGGGTGAAGTAGCCGATAACTGAAGGAGGATGCAGATACACTCTGTGGACTCATGACTCTCAGAGACCCAGCGGATCCTGAGAGATCAAGCTCTGGACGTAAGAGGGTTAGGAGGGAAGGAAAGTGCTTGATTGAATTGGTCTCTGTTCTTAACTTTGGGCCAGCTGATTGGTGGCATCGCTGAGACCGGAACTCAGAATAGAAAGATGAAGTCATATGGTGGGAGGGACCAAAAGGGGGAAAGCCAGCTGGAAATGAGTGTGAAAAGGATAATAGAAAGAGGCACTAGGATGGCGAGAAGAGGAGAAAAAAGAAAAGCAAAGTGGGAGAAAAGACTGCCCTTGACCTTGGAGAGCCAGAGTCTCACTGTTCCCTCCGCACAGCCTCAAACTCCTGTCTTTTCAGCAGGGACAAAGGTAAGGGTTCCTATCAGACGCAGTGCAGGATTCTGTTTGGTTGAATTAAACTCACATCATATTTGTAGAGAACTCCTGTGGAAGAGGCCTGCATGGGATAGGGGTTGGGAACTGGGGCGAGAGTGCATTGCATAGACTTTGGACTCAAGGTAGGATTTTCTTTTTCAGAAGTGCTTTTGAAAAAAAAAAAATCAGGGCCACTTACAAAGTAATGAGATTGAGTTATTTGGCTTATGGAAATTAGTTTATTTGTCTCATATTCAGAAAAAAACTGAAGAAACCACCACTGTTCTAAATTTTGATGCTTCCAAGGAAGACTGATGAGGGAAAATGTTTGGTCTAGATGAGAATGGAATTCAGCCTGAAGCTGAAGTATTTCTTCTCTTGGTCTTCTCTTTTTGTCTTTCTTTTTAATAAAACCCAACAGAAATAAATATTTTCATGATCTCTCACCCTATATGGGGAGTTATTTGGCCAGATTCCTTCTGAAGAGGGTGGATTGGGATGGTCATGAAATACTGCTGTGGATTTCCTGCCTCTTAGCCTCCTGGTGCATCCCATCGAAACTGCTCAACTGCTCTTCCCTCTCCAGGGGAAAGAGCTTTGTGGCAACTTCAGCCTAAGGGCGTTTAGTGACAGTGAAATCCCTCCAGAGAGCCAGCGAGCCTGGGCTGCTGCTCCTCTGTGTGTTTTGTGCCCTCAGGAATGTGCAGATACAGCAAATGACAACACTGAGCCTCTGTCCCCAGTGGAGCTGCAGGCCCTCTCTCTTTGTGTGGGCTCTTTTCCAAGCTTGGATCATTGCACTCGTTGAACCTTCATTATCCATTAAGGGGAGGCAAGAAGGCAAGGATGGAGGGAGAAAAACAGGCCTTTCCCATGGGCAGTATTCTAATAGATTTTGAGTTTTCACATCAGTAGATCTCATGGAGTTTTACTATCAGTTTAGACATTTGGTTAAAAATCTCAGGACTGAGGTGCATATACTTAGTGGTAATGTGATTTCTACCTTTGGAAAAATTTTTGATCAGTTGTCAACCTCCGCAGCATTCTTAGAGTAGAAAGGACTCGGGACCAGCAGATAGCATAAGGGTTACGTCCCTGGGCTCACACGTAGTTGGCAGTGGTCTGAGACTGGACCCAGCGGCTTAAACTCACGCTGGTTGCATGTGCCTGTGTGCCCGAGATCCTGAGGGGAGAATGGAGAAGGGACTGCAGTGTGGCCATCCCCCTTAGGGGTGGGGATTCTTGTTTTCTGTTTCTCTGTCTCTCTGGGAGAGCACACATCCCCTTGTTATAGGCCTCTCTTTTAAAAAAAGACCCTACATTTTAGTGTAGTCACTGTCCCCAGAGAGACTGTGTACACAGATAGCAAGTGGCAAAGCAAGACCCAACATTTTCGTTACCTCTCTTCCCTAGGTAAACACTGTGGCCCAGACATTTCACTCTATTTGGTGTCATTAAAGTGATTTCGGTCACTTATATCAAATCACATTAGTCTGAAGTGAGCCATGTTCAAATTTTGGCTCTTTCTACACCTACATAGAAATGACCAAATAAAACTTACACTCGTGTATTCATAGCATGTTATTCATAATTGCTTAAAGGTAGAAACCAAAGTCCATCAATTGGACTTTGATCCATTCTTCATTCCATATCCATTCTTCAACTGATAAATGGATAAAATGTAATATACCTACACAATGGAATATTACCCAGCTATGAAAAGGAATGAGCATTGATATATACTACAGCATGGTGGACCTGGAAAACATTATGCTAGGTGAAAAGATCCAGCACAGAAGGCAATGTGTTGCAGGATTACATTTTTATGAAGTGTCCAGAAAAGGAGAGTTCATAGAGACCCCAGTGGTTGCCAGGATCTGGGGGACGAGGAGAACAAGGAGTGACTACTGATAAGTACAGAGTTTGTTTTGGGGGTGATAAGGATGTCCTGGAATTAGATAGTGGCGATGGTTGCACAACTCTGTTAACATGCCAGAACTCACTGAATTGTACAGTTTTCATTTATTTTTAATTATTACTTTTTTAGATTTTTGTCATCAGGCATGTGTACTCACCAGAGAGACATAGAGACAGAGAGAAGGAAAGTGAGAAACCATCCTCAAAACGGGACAGCCACACCACAATCCCTTCTTAATTCTTCCCTCTTGATTTTGGGCAGGCACCCACACATGCCCAGTGTGATTTTGAAGCTGCCAGGTCCAGGTCTCAAACCTCGGTCAGCTATGTGATAGTTCAGCACCTTAACTACCACGCCACCTTCTGGCTCTGTACACTTTTCATAAAATGGTGAATTTAATGTATTTCAAGAAAGCCATCATTAAAAAAACAATTCTGGTTCTACCTCCTACCAACTGAGTGACTTTAGGCAATGAACCTAAACCAAGTAATCTCAGTAGTGCAATGGGAATAATAATAATATACACCTTAAAAGATAATTTTGATAAATAAGATAATAAAATTGGACGTGTTTCTAAACTGTAAACCTCACGTATTTGGGGACTCATTGTCAATGGGCTTTGAGGTCCTTATAAATTGGGTTCTAATATTCTCCTGTATTTTCCATAACACTAACATACTACATAGTAATCACTCAAAGACTTGTTGAATCAATGAAAAAAATATTACAGTGGTTTTTTTTTCCTTTGGTTGTTATGGTTTTAAAAACACATGGGATAAGATCATGTATTAAACAAATTTTAAAGTGTACAATACACTATTATTAACTATATTCACATTGTCATAGCAGTTCTCAACAACTTCTTCATCCTATGTGACTGAAACTCTACCCCATCTCTCTCTACTCATTTAATTTTCTGCTCTATGAGTTTAACTGTTTTAGATACTTTGCATAAGTGTAGTCATACAGTATTTGTCCTCAGTGATTGGCTTGTTTCACTTAGTATAATGTGCTCAGTGTTCATCTATGTTGTAGTAAATGTAGCTGTCAGCATTTCTTTCCTTTATAAGGTTGAGTCATATTCCATTGTTACATGTACTACGCTTTCTTTACCCATTCCTCTGTCAAGGTACATTCAGGTTGTTTCCACCTGATAGTTATTGCGAATGATGGTACACCAGATATGGAAGTGTAAATATCTCAAGATCCTGTTTTTGGGACCAGCAGGTGGTGTGGTGGTTAAGGTACTGAACTCCCACATGGCTGACTGAGGTTCAAGTCCTGGACCTGGCAACTTGAAGATCACGCCAGGTGTGTGTGCGTGCATGCCCAAAATCCCAGGAAGAGAACGGAGAAGGGATTACAGCATGACCATCTCCCCAAGGAGTGATTTCTCACTTTCCTTCTCACTGTCTTTCTCCAGCAACTGCATGTGCCCTATGGCAAAACAAAACAAAAACTTAAAAAAAAGATAAAGGATTGACATTAATTCTTCTTTCACTGGTTGGTTTAATTGAGTTGTGAAGTCATCTGTTCCTTGACTTTTCTGTATTGGGAGGTTTTTGATTACTGGCGCAATCTTCCCTTTAGTTCTAGCTTTGTTCAGATTTTCTATTTATTTATGATTCAGTTTTGGTAAGTCGTATGTTTCTAAGAATTTATTCACTTCTTGGTTATGCAATTTGTTGGTACACACTTGTTTAGAGTAGTTACTTATAGTTCTTTTTATTTCTATGGCATAAGTTGTGATGTCTACTCATTTCTGATTTTATTTGAAACTTCTCTTTTTTATAAAAGTGTTTGTCAATTTTGCTGATCTTTTAACAAAAACTGACTCAGTTGCACTGATTTTTTTCTATTGTTTGTCTAGTCTGCTTTTCACTTATTTCTGTTCTATACTTTATTATTTCCTTCCTTCTGCTAACTTTGGAATTAACTTTGTCATGTTCTAATTCCTTAAGTTGTAAGGTTAGGTTGTTTCTTTGACTACGTGGGAGTCCAGTGACATAGCCATTACGCTAACTGCTGGTCCCTTTGAAATCTTTCTTCTTTTTTAATGTAGGCATTTATGGCTACAAACTTCCTGGTTAGTATTGCTTTTACTGCATTCCGTAAGTTCTTTTTTGAGAGAGAGATTTTTGCTATAGAGTGTGTGCACTTGCTGGAGGGACAGAGAGAAATAGAGAGAAAGAAAGTGAGAAATCACCCCCCAGAGGTATGGCCATGTTGCAACCCCTTCCCCTTCATTTTCCTTCAGGGATTTTGGGCATATACGCCTGACGTGAGTTTAAGCCGCTGGGTCCGGGGCTCGAACCATTGTCAACTATGTGGGAGTCCAGTGGCATAGCAGTTATGCCAACTGCTGTTCTTAGTCTCAAGATATTTTCTTATTTCCTTTTTTATTATTTTATTTAACTTTACTTTAAAATTTACTTACTTTATTTTAATTTGATCAGAGAAAGACAGAGTGAGAGAGAGAGAGAGAGAAAGGGAGAGAGAGAAAGTGAGAAAGCAAGCTGCCAGATCTGGAACTTGAACCACAGTTGGCCATGTGAGAGTCCAGTGCCCTTAACCATCATGCCACCTGCTGGCCCACTGATTTCCTTTTATTATTTCTTTTTTGACTGATTCCAGATTATGTTATTTAATTTCCACAATCATTTTTTTTTTAAGTTTTCTTTCTGCTACTGATTTCGATCCCATTGTGATTAGAAAAGGTACATATATGATTTCAATCTTCTTAAATGTATTAGGACTTGTTTTATGACCTAATGAGATTTATTCTGAGAAAAATATTTATCTCATGCTTTCTTACCCAGTGACCACTCACTACACACCCATGTCTGCTTGAGAAGATAGTATGTTCTATCGCTCTTGGGCAGAATGTTCTGTACATGTCTGGTAGGTCAATTTAGTCTATAGTGTTGTTTAAGTCCTCTGTTTCTTTACTGACCTTCTTCCTGGATGTTCAATCTATTATTGAAAGTGGGGGTATTAAAATCTGTCTTTTTAAAAAAAGTTCATTTATTTTAATTTTACCCTTGAGAGTAATAGAAACAGAGATAGGAAGCCCCAGCAAGGTCTTCATACTGCCTTCCACCCTAAGTCTCAGCTGGGATCATGGGCACATAGGCACACCTGCTGTGCTCAGGGAAGTCCTAGGACATGAACCAGGATCTGTCTCATGTGGTTCCAGTTGCATTACCTGTGTGCCACCACCTGCCCCCGAATCTTTTGCTGTTATTGGGATGCTGTCTATTTCTCCCTTCCACTCTGTCAATGTTTGCTTCCTGTAGTTCGGTGCTGATGTTGGCTGCGTACATAGTTATAATTGTTCATATATCATTATATTTATATAGCTGTTCATATATCTCATTGTAATTGTTTATATATATATAAATGCCTTCCTGGTGAATTGACCCTCTTTTTTTTTTTAGGTGTTTGTCATAGGGTGCATGCACTCAGAGAGACCGAGAGGGTGAGAGTGAGAAATCACTCTTCAGGGGGATGGCTATGCTGCAGTCTCTTCTCCATTCTCCTCCTGGGATTTTGTAATTTTACCCTTGAGAGTAATAGAAACAGAGATAGGAAGCCCCAGCAAGGTCTTCATACTGCCTTCCACCCTAAGTCTCAGCTGGGATCATGGGCACATAGGCACACCTGCTGTGCTCAGGGAAGTCCTAGGACATGAACCAGGATCTGTCTCATGTGGTTCCAGTTGCATTACCTGTGTGCCACCACCTGCCCCCGAATCTTTTGCTGTTATTGGGATGCTGTCTATTTCTCCCTTCCACTCTGTCAATGTTTGCTTCCTGTAGTTCGGTGCTGATGTTGGCTGCGTACATAGTTATAATTGTTCATATATCATTATATTTATATAGCTGTTCATATATCTCATTGTAATTGTTTATATATATATAAATGCCTTCCTGGTGAATTGACCCTCTTTTTTTTTTTAGGTGTTTGTCATAGGGTGCATGCACTCAGAGAGACCGAGAGGGTGAGAGTGAGAAATCACTCTTCAGGGGGATGGCTATGCTGCAGTCTCTTCTCCATTCTCCTCCTGGGATTTTGGGCACACACACACACACACTGCCTGGTGTGATTTTTCTCAAACCTCCAGGTTTGAGACTCAAACTTCAGTTGGATATGGGATTCTAGTGTCTTAACCACATCACCTGCTGGCCCTGACCCTCTTATCATTATAAACATTGCCTATTGTGACAGTTTTTGACTTAAAGATTGTTTTGTCTAATGTAAGTATCCTGTTTTATTTTGGTTTCCATTTCAATGGAAAATATTTTTCCATCTCTTCACTTTCAGCCTGTATATGTCCTTAAATTTAAAATGAGTCTCTTGTACATAGCATATAGTTGGATTTGTTTTTCTTTTTTATTTAACCATCAAAATAGTTACAATGTTATACATTTCTTTAAATTCAGTTAATCTCTAAATCTGGTTGCTTTTACACCCAAGTATTTCTCAGAACTAAAGACTTCTAGCAACTTATTTTTTCTCCTTAATTTACTATTCTTCTTCTTATTTTTTTTTCTTTTAGCAGAGACAAGGTGTCTGTTCCTTTGACAAGACCATAATCTGACCCCAAAGATGTGCTCCGCAAACCCAGGCAACTGGGTCACTTTTGATGACGACTCTGGTTTTCAATCTTCTCAAGCATCGAAGAATCTCCCTCTGGAGAATCAAGGTGTCTGTAGACCAAATGGACTTAAGTTAAACCTTCCTGGACTCAAGGAATTTCCCAGTGGATCTTCATCTACCAGCAGCACCCCTCTCTCTTCTCCCATTGTAGACTTTTACTTCAGTCCAGGACCTCCAAGTAACTCTCCTCTTTCTACACCTACCAAGGACTTTCCAGGTATTCCTGGTGTCCCCAAAGCAGTGACCCACGTGCTTTATCCTATTCCAGAGTCATCTTCACACTGCCCACTCGTAATACCAGCAGACTCCTCACTGCCTACTAACCCAACGTGTTTATCTCATGCTTTCTTACCCAGTGACCACTCAGCTACACACCCAGCTCCCAAAGCAGGTCTTCCAGAGGATATTAGCTCTCACCAGGCAGAAAGACTAGGGTTCCAAAGCAGTACTCCCCAGTTTCAGTATTTTCGAGAGGACTATGCCTTTTCAAGTCCATTTTGGAAAGAGGAAAGCAGCGCCTCTCAATTCACCTGTGACAACCCAGGGAGCAGAAAGACATTGTCATCAAGAGACAAGGAGCTGCCTATTGATCAAAAAAGCCTAAATAAATGTTCACTCAGCTATATCTGTGAGAAACTGGAACATCTCCAGTCTGCTGAAAACCAAGACTCCTTGGGGAATTTGTCGACGCAATGTCTTTATGCTGAAGACGTTGCATCTTCCTTTGTCCCCCACACACTCTTCAGGAGTCAGCCAAGAGCCGGCTGGTCTTTAATGCTGAGGATTCCTGAAAAGAAGAACATGATGTCTTCCCGGCAATGGGGACCAATTTTTCTGAAAGTTTTACCTGGAGGAATTTTGCAAATGTATTATGAGAAAGGGTTGGAGAAACCATTTAAAGAATTACAGCTCGATCCACATTGCAGGCTTTCTGAACCCAAAGTTGAGAACTTTAGTGTGGCAGGAAAAATCCATACTGTGAAGATTGAACACGTGTCTTACACAGAAAAAAGGAAATACCATTCTAAGACAGAAGTAGTTCATGAGCCAGACATTGAGCAGATGCTGAAGCTGGGGTCCACGGAGTACCATGACTTTCTTGACTTTCTGACCACTGTGGAGGAGGAGCTGATGAAACTGCCAGCTGTTTCAAAACCAAAGAAGAACTACGAGGATCAAGACATTACCCTGGAAATTGTGGACAACTTTTGGGGTAAAGTCACAAAAGACGAAGGAAAATTGATTGAAAGTACTGTCATAACTCAAATCTCTTGCCTCTGCTTTGTGAATGGGAACATGGAATGCTTTTTAACCTTGAATGATCTGGAGCTGCAGAAGCGAGATGAATGCTATTTTGAAAAAGACCCAGAAAAGAAAGGAATTAATATCCTTGATTACCATTTCCATAACTGTGTGAAAGTACAAGAATTTGAGCAGTCAAGAATCATCAAGTTTGCCCCTCCAGATGCCTGCCGGTTTGAGCTGATGCGTTTCAAGACTTCGTATGATGGAGATGCTCTTCCCTTTTCCGTGAAGTCTGCAGTGGTTGTCCAGGGGGCGTATGTGGAACTTCAGGCCTTTGTCAACATGGCCCCATTAACTCAGAGACCATCCTACATGGGTTCCTTGAGGTCCTGTGATAACATAATGATACACTTTCCTGTCCCAGCACAGTGGATCAAAGCCCTCTGGACCATGAATCTCCAGAGGCAGAAGTCCCTGAAGGCCAAAATGAACCGCCGGGCATGTCTAGGGAGTTTACATGAACCAGAATCTGAGCCTGTCATCCAGGTCACTGTGGGGTCAGCGAAATATGAGAGTGCCTACCGGGCCGTGGTGTGGAAGATAGACCGGCTTCCTGATAAAAATTCAAGTAAATATTCAACGCCCGAAGTAGATTTTCATAGGAAATAGCTTAAATGTTTTCAGTCTCCTCCTTGGGTTGAAGGTGGAGACAAATGGTAACTTGCAGCCAAGACCTCGCTTGCATAGATGGGGGGAGACGGAACAGTTAGCCAAACAGTGGGCTTATTTGTTTCCTCTCGTGCCTCTTTCTACCAGATAAGTTTAATTTTTTGCATTTTTCTGATATCATACTAAATAACAGACTAGGAATTTGTTGTAGATGGCTGCATTGAGGGAAAATTTGGGCTTCTTGACATCAACCCATCAATCTCAAATTTTAAAAATGTTTCTAGCATAGCTTAGATTCCATAATTAAGGTTGAAAGATCCCTCATCGTTGAGAATAACTGAACTTTTTTGTGTTCTCAGCTAGTACTACCTCCTCCTTGGGTTTTTTTCCCTCTGTTCTCTGGAATTAGATTTCTTTTTATTTTTACCCAATTGATTTCCTTGGCTGAATTTACCATTTGACTGTCTCAACTGGTCCTAGAATTATTATTATTATTATTATTATTATTGGAAAGGTTTTATCTT